ATACTATCTTTTTTCTTAGATGACTATTGACTTATGGTATCGTCTTCATATAATTTAAAGATTTAGTCGATAGTATCTTTTCGAATTGCTTTATTCCCACTAAACAATAGTGGTTAAGCTGAGACGCCATATAGACCCTAAATAATATTTCCTGTCTAGGCCGATGTTCAGTACAATCACGATATCATTCAATTTTTCTTCTACCCCAATCAGTTGGAATCAGCGTTGCCTCCTCTGAGGTACAACTCAGTGAAGATAGCGCCACTTTCAACGAATTGTACTCCAAAACTGACATTTCTTATATAGAACTATTCTTATTAAATGAATTTATTGTTTTCGTTTTGCTTGCAATAAATAATTGTTTAAAGACATCGATTAATACATAAAGTTCTTTTAACTTAATATTAGATGACATAGAATCTATGGTATTTATTGTCATTGTTGATTTTGAACGCAAATTTTTTCACATAGATTGTGAAGAACAACCTTATGGCATTACCGTTTATGTCATTAATTTGTGATTATAACGGCTAAATTTATATTAAAAAAAATTATTTATTTTGAATATTTAGAAATATATACGTATCAATAATTATTTTTGTTCTAAGTAGATCAAAAACTGCATTTGATATATTCATTGCTTCCACATGAGAGTAAACATCTTATCATAAAGTTGAACGGAAATGATTTACTGATACTTCAGTTTCATTAGAGGACTATTTATTTGGAGTCGTAGAGTATGAAAAATTGTTATCGTAGATTTCATCAGCATTGCTATCAGCATCATCTTATGATGCTTGTAATATATTATACTTTTTATTTATCTTATTATTTTTAAAGCAAATAACAAGCAGTACATAAGCAATCTCTTCCTCTATTATTGTTTGATCTCTACCAATTGTTCAACAATATTAAATCTGAATGTAATTAAGCATTTTTTTCTCACTATACGTTCACCTGTAGAATACATGATTCTATGATCTATTGTGGTGCAATTTTCGTAACGAGTAAGATTTGTATATCATTTTACTGATCCTTGATCTAGTTTCAGCAAATGCAACAGATATGATATTTGATATCAAAATAGTTAGCGAACAATAATATTCAACATTTTATTCCATATAAATTCGTGAAACAAGCAATTAAGTTAGCTTTATTGAAGTTTGGAAAAATATAAATGAAGAGTATTTAGTAATTTGATGATTACTTATTATTTTCTTTTTTTCTCTTGTATATCTATCTAATAGCATAGCTAATGATACATAAAATCAACGTTCTGTGAAGATGAATGAGTTCAATACGGTGGAGCAATAAATTTCGATAAATAAACAATGATACTGTTATTATTTGTGATTTTCATACGCTCTAAAAAGATTTCTGTTATGAAACCTATAAGGTCCTTCGTTCGGACACAAACTTGGAACTATTTTTGATTTCGTGCGAAAAAAAGTAAAATCTTTTGAAAGACTATGAAATTTTTTCATCGAAGGTACTTATCGGGTGAACCGTTTGTATTACCTTATTTACCAATAGAAACTGTTTGAACGTCTGGCTCCTGTATTCTTAAATAGGCACTAGCTATATGTATTTAATATGATTAAAGCCAGTCGCTAATCATTATGTTATGACGTAGAACAGTTTATCGAAAAATAGACTATTTTTACTGATTTTTCATCATTTGAATAATCTCGTATCGATCCAATATGTATTTCAATCATATGAATTAGCTAATATAGTACTATATAGAATGTACTAACTTAGTACTATACAAATATCAATATATAATTCCGATTACAATTTGTAATGATAGAAGAAAGTCAATAGGGTGAAATGATGAAAAATCATACAAATAGTGATAGTAGACGAAAATGTAGTATTTTGTAGTTTAAAAAACCTAGAATGCTCAATGGAAGTCTATAGGAACGTTTTTCAGCAAAGCTCTTAGAGTAGTGCGACCTTCAACCACTGAAGGTTTCGGCTTCGTTGTGTATAATTTTATATAATGTGGGAGATTTCCGATGTAACTACCCATCAATCACCATATATGAATTCTATGCTCCAATTATTAGTAAATTGTCACTCATTATGACGAAAAACAATGTCATAAGTAAGATGAAACTAGTATTTTTCTCGAAATTTACTTTAATATAAAGAATAATTTTATGTTATGAAAATTTTTGTGCAGAACCAATAAATCTACGTCGAATATATCTTGTTTTCTTGAATTCAGCCTGATTCTTTTTTTTTTCACTTTCTTGATTGATTCTTGCAATTTAGGTAAAGCTTTTGCTATGGATTAACAAGGCTATTACATCTCCTCTGTTTTACTTTATTTCGAGATTTTACACAAAAATAAAAAAATATCTATAAGAAAAGTTCATATTATTTTACACAATTTCAGATGAGAGACAAAAAGACGAAAAGAAGAATATTTACTATAATAATGAAAAAAAATCATGGTCATGCGATACATCTGGCAAGTATTCGTCAAAAGAAATAAGAGAAACGAATAACAAAAATTGTCTTTTTACATAAATAATATTTAACGATTGTTCATCTTCTTCGTTTTCATCACTCGGATTGGACGATTGATAGTCTATTGTCGACGTCCTTCGGTTTGATAAAGTTATTCTCAATTCGATTGAAAAAATTTTCTTGCTAACACCATAACTCATCTGTTGCAAAGAGTATTTTATCAATTGACTATTGGCATTACAGATGCAGGATGTTGATTATGTATACATCCAATAATATCTGAAAATGAATATTTTGAACATCATGGTAAGATTTAAATATTTTTATTCATCTCACTTAGTAAAATATCAAATTCTTCAAAAGCCAAACTATTAAATGACGCATTTTCACCATATGCAACATGAAGCAAACCTCTAGCCGTCGTATTTAATGAAACATCATGTGAACTATGTCGTAAAGTGGTTTTTTTAAACCAAATGTCATCCGACTCAATAATATAACAGCAGATTTACTTTTCTATTCAGTATGTTAGCTCACCTAATATTGACATAAAACTCATGCATTGTTTGTGAATCTGATAGCTCTTGGTAATCAAAACTTATCTTCCCATGTAGAAAAAAAGTAGGCAATAATCAACTTTTTATTACTATAAATATTAAAAGATGATCATAAAAAGTAATAATAAGTGAACGTGTTTTGGCATCAAAAGCTACTAAAAAAAGGTTTACTTATTATATTTTTCCTGATCACTTTTTACTAGTTGTAGTAATAAAAAGTTGGTTTTTGCTACTTCTTTTTCACATGGGCTAATAACATTTAGTTGCTGCTATGCACAAGTGAATAGATAACTGACAGATGCTGATACTTATACATCTCTACATCGAAGTATCAAATGATATGAAGGTCAGACAAGAAGGTTTTTTTTTCTGTTCTGTTAAAAGAATCTTGACTGATCGATTCCGAAAAATAAGAATCTGAACAAAATAGATCCAAGAACTTCAACTAGTGAATATAACTAATATCAAATCTAAAACTAGCAGTATGAATGTTTCAACCTGGCGTTAACCTAGGCGGCTCTGACATTGGACTGAATCCGAGGTTGAGTGTTAGCATGTATATTATAAGGAATATTATCTTCATATAAAAATTAAGTAACAAAAAATACTGTTATATTCATATTGTAGGAATAGTTCTGCTATGAATTTCACCAGTTCCTTCAGAATTTAGAGAAGATTCGAAGACTACGGTTGTTTGTTGGAGTGAATATTTTTTTTTGTTGCTTTAAGTATTCTTGTGTAAAAATTCTCAAATATTATTCAGTAATTTCATACGAGACAATCTTGATTTCATTCAAAATTAACCTTGACTTCTCACCTGTCAAACATGATTGTTGATGTCGATGAACGAAGTGTGTCAGTAAAAATAGAAAACATAATATTTAAATGAAGTTCTTTTTTTGCAGACACGAAGTCACGTTATCCATGATTTTCTCTCTACATAATGATTCTCATTAAATAGAAGAAGTAATTTCATAGGCTTACACACGTTAAAAAAATAGCAAGTATATTGTAATATTGTTCTGGTAATGTGAATTTCAAACAGAATGCACCTCTATTCTATGCAAAAAAATGTATATCCTTGAGACAGCTTGTGTTCTATACATCTTTTATTCTATATGAAACTCTTTATTTATTCACAATATATTATAAGAAAAAATAAAATAAAATTGGTATGTACCATTGGCTTTATTATCTTAAATGACATCTCATTTTTGCGTATCGCATATTGAATCTATTATTCCATTTATAAATTAATATATGTTTTTATATCAACGTTGAATGACTGAAAGAAATCTTGTTCTTCGTTTTCTAATATAAAATTATTTAGTCATAGAAATGAGCTTTGGTTTTAAAATAGCACAGGGTGCGACAGATTAAATAGCTGCTTTTTGTATTGCAAGTTTTAATCCCTAAATACTTTGAATTAATAAAACAAAATATACCATAGAATGTAGCATGAAAACTTCTACAACTTATAAAATATCGCTTGTTTTATAGTTGCATTTTACCTTCTAAATGAAGAAAATTTTGTGCCACCGAATTTCTACCGTTCGAATGAGATAAGTCTGTTTTTTTGATAAATGAAGAATTCATTTTTTTGTTATGTCATCTTTTCATCACTAGGTATGCTTTATCAAAAAAATATATACGAGAAGATGCAGCATGTAAAGCTCTACAATCTACAAAGTGAAGTTTATTTTAATTGTTTTCAACAAAAACAAAAAGTACAAAATAAAAAACAAACTTTACTCTGTAGATTGAAGATCTTTTCACGCAGCGTATTTTGGTTTATTAATAAAACTTATTAGATGATGAAAAAATAAGATACACAACGCAACCATCTAATCTGTCACAGCCTTTATTTCTTTAAAATAAGTGTTTAATGAAATTTCTTCAAGAATTTATGTATATAAACTATAATATAATTAATTTTATCTAAGATAAAATTATTATTTTCAGATACATATGACCACTAAACATAGTTTAGTAATATTAAAATATTTATTTTTGATAGGCATATTACTGAGTACAATATATTTATTTCGAACTGACTTATTTCCTTTTGTTTTGAACCATTCAAAACAGATATCAACCACTAATACTCAAAACTGTATTGATCTTAGTGTTATTACTAATGATTCTTTTCAATGTGTTAAAACAAAATTATTGTTAAATAAATATCGCACTACAGTCTGTGTACATGACGCTAAAAAAGATACAGATGTAAGTGGTTTAATCATCAACCATGGTATATGGGAAGAAAATTTAGTTACACGTATTGTTCGTATTTTTTCTACTTATCGTCAGTTAGCGTTTATTGATATTGGTGCAAATATCGGTATATATACAATGTATGCTGCATCATTAGGTTGTCCACATGTGTTTGCTATTGAATGTTTTCGTCCTAATATAGAACGAATTCGTCGAGCTATTCAACTTGAAAAAGTTCAAAAACAAGTTCTCCTTGTACCTCGTGCACTTTATAATAAATCGAATGTTTATTTATCGTTACGAACAAATATTGCAAATAATATAGGTTCACAACGGTTGAATGTTGAAGTATCTAAAAATGAAGATGATTCTCGTGTTGTTCAAACAATCCGTTTTGATGACTTATTGCCATTTATTAATGAACGAAATATTCAAGAGGCAATTATTAAAATTGATATTGAAACATCTGAACATTATTTATGTGTAACAGGTGAAAAAATATTTAATCAAATAAATATTCCATTTGTTATCATGGAATGGGCAAATATTAAAGAAATACCTGAAAAAGCTAATTTAATTCAAGAATTTTTTACTATTCGTAGTTATATTCCATTCAATTCAGAAATATGTCAACCAGAAACTGAAAAAGATTATCGACGTTGGCAAAATCAAGATATTTTTTGGATAAAAAAGAATTATACGTATCTTTGTGAATTATCATGAAAGAATTTGAATTTATTTTGAAGCTATGACTCAAATTTAAAGTGTTCGAAATATATTGCTATAATGAACATTAGATAAAAATGAAGAAAGGAAATATGTTTCTCATTTTAATAGGATTAGTGGATATCTCTGAACAAAATCAATTGGCTGATAAAAACACTTCATGGCTAGGTTAATTCTTTTTTTTATGATATTTTCTTAATTTTTTACTTTATGTGTATTTGTATAATTGAATATGGCACATTCTCGGAAGAGCTTCGAATCAGCGACAAAGAGAGTTCAATGATCTAAAGTAGTAAAACAGTTAGCAGATACCAAAAGAAAAGATAACCTTGTCATGAACTATTCTGTCAATCAACTCATCTGTAGTGTTGCTTAATTATATTGAGAGACGTACATTCTTCATTGAAACAAATTGTCATCAACCATATGCTATACTAGACTAAAGTACTTAAGTCATCTTTGTTACTAAAATTTACTTTAGACGAAAGAAGTTCTCAATAAATACAATAATGTAAGGGCAGGCGGATGACAAGACTTTTGTTTAAGAGGGCACTTCAACAGTTAATAACAATTGTGTTTCAGGCTTCCTCGCAAAAAAATGATTTTTCTAAAAACAAAGACATTTTTTTCTTCAGAAACTATGATAAACTGCTAGAGCTTTCCAGCGAAAAGGCCAATACCATATCCAGAGAAAAATTATAAGCCTTATTGAAAATACCGAACTGTTATCATAGTCCAACATGTAACTTGAAGGTTACTCAATAAGACTCGAGATGAATTTTTAATTGATGCATAAATATAATTATATTTGATGCTTACGTCAAAAATTTTTTCCTGCAAATATACAAAACAGAATATCTTTAGCAAGTTTTTCTCAACTTCGATTTTTGCATGATTTGTCGAATTTCGTACAAATTTCTTTTTTTTTTATAATGTTCGTTCTAGTGAACTGCATTTTTTTTAATCAATAGATAGATGCATTCTTTTATCAACAAGAGACAGAGATTTCGTATTCGACCCTGCATTTCAAAGCAATCATGCGTTTTCTAGAAAACATTGTCCAAAGTTTTTAGAGTTTTAGAATTTTGATTGCACGAAAAATGTAATAAAACAAAGAATAAAAAACCTTCACCTTATCCGAAGCAGTGAGGAGTTCTATTTTAAATATGAATAGTCCGAGTACTGTACTTTGAAGTGTATCGAAAGAACATTTGTACATGTAAAAGCCCTGTTTTGCACTATAGTTTCTGAAAGTCTCCTGAATGGTAAGATTTGAAGGATTGAAATTTTTTTAATCATCGACTTTCAACAGCCGAATATCTTCAGAAAGTTTCGTGGTAATTTCATATACTGCATCAAAAATCGATTTGAGTCGACTAGAGGATAGGCCTTCACAAAAGTGTGATAAAAATCAAAATAGAGTGCCGACACAAGAAGTAAAAAAATTCATGTTTCGATTTTTTTTTGGAACTGGTTTAATCTTCACAAATGTTTTTCTAATCAAACAGCTCGAACAGTTTGTAATCTCTTTTGTGACTGACATTATGCTTAGCCTATCTTTTTACAATCGTCAGCATGATCATACAATTCAATGAATAGATGACATTTATGTTAAAGGCGAATTAAAAATATTATGGTAAATAGTATTAAAAAAAGAACATATCAAAACAGTAATTCATTCTTTCAATGATGACATCGTTAACGCAAACATTCGCTGTTACTTCTGGTGTCAGCTATGAATATATTTATCGTGCACCAACGGGAAACGAGACAACAACATTTCTATTTCTGCATGGCTTTCCCTCGTCGTTGCACACCTGGCGTCATCAAATCAATCATTTCAATCGTCTGGGTTACGGCTGTTTAGCACCCAATCTTTTGGGTTATGGTAAGACATATTCATCTTCAAATATTACAGAGTACAAAACTAAACAGATGGTTCTTCATCTTGTCACACTTCTCTCCCATCTAATGATCAATCATCCAGTGATTGTGGTCGGTCATGATTTTGGGACAGTGCCTGCTTCTCGATTCGCTCTCTATGAACCACAACGTGTTCAAGCTCTTATTCTTCTGAGCGTTGGCTATCGTCCGCCTGGCCCTCCGAGCATCAGTCAAACTGCTGATGTCGTCAACGAGATAGTCGGCTATGATATATTTGGCTATGCGAAATTTTTCGGTTTGGATTCAGATGCGGCTCAGCTCATTGAAAAGAATGCGAACAGCTTTCTTGATCTCGCGTACCCGCCTACAGATGATGCTCTTACTCTTTGGCGTTCGAATTTTTCTCCCACAGGTAAACTAAAAGAATGGCTTTTGGAAGGTAGACGCTTGCCTCGTCGCGCATCTTATTTATCCGACACTGACTATCACGTTTATCTTGGCTATATCTTGGAAGGAATGAAGCCAAAACTAAACTGGTATACGGCTCAGTTGAACAATATTAACGAAGAAGATGAACGATATTTAGATCCTAATTTACAAATGCCATGTCTCTTCATTGGTGGTCTACGGGATGCTGTCGGTGTTCCTGTATTATTTGCTGCTCAAAAACAATATATGACGCAATTGACGGTACTCGAAATGAACGCTACTCATTGGATTATGGAAGAGATGCCCCAAGAAGTCAATGAAGCTATTGAGAAATGGGTCATGACTACTTTGAAATAATCTTTGCTATTGTTTTATTGTTTAAAAAGACAGTATCGAATGTTTTTTTGAAACAAGGAGCTAATATCTAATAAACACATTTCTATGAGTTTTAATGTATTTTGGGAATCTTGATTTCAAGTTGACCGACCAAACAAAGAAAACGGTGAGTTTATACACAAAAGCGATGAAGATAAAAGTCTTAGTCGAATTCTCTATATTCCAATAACAGTCGTACCCAATTGTTCTTGTCCATTTCCGTGACAATAGTAGCATTTATAAGATGAGCATCGGATATAAGTCAAAAGAAAAATTTTCGAAAATTCTTCTTTCTATAAAAACGTTTTTTTAGAACAGACTTGAATTTGACAGAACATTTTAGTCTAGAACTTTTTTTTGCTTCTCTTTCATTCTCTCATCATCTGAATTGATAGAGAACTGCTTGTATATATTTCATGCAATAAGCTACTATGGGATTTTTAACCATGTTTCTTAGCAGTGAGTGAATGGATTATTTTACAATTCAGACTATTTTTAATTGCTACAACGTATTTGGTTTGAAACAGGTAAAAATCAGTTGCTTCTAGTATCAGGTGATTTCTCTTCTAAGACACATTATCGTGACGTTAATTGTTGGCTTATTTATCAAGTCTTTTGTCGTTCCAACAACAGACAATTATTATGACTCAAACAATATATCAGAAGCAACTAACAAGTTTTTAATAGCTTTCAACAACGCTGAGGGATCAGTAAAATATTTTAATCATTCGACTTGAGGCCTAGAAAGCAAACTAATTCAGGCATGAATATCTGCGTTGGTGAACTCAAGGCGTGTTCAGTTATTTATATTATTTCGAAAACCCATGACTTGGATGTGGATTTGGGTGCTTCTTCTTGTCATACATGCGCACAACCACACTTACATCCTTTTTGAGATGAATTTTATTCTTTGATTGCTTAATGTTACCGAGACTCAGCGTATTGATCGAATAGTTGCAAAATAAAAGTAATAACAGTTCGATAGGATTGGTTTCTGCTTGGAACTGCATCATGAGAAAGAAGAGCCGTATATACACTGAGTGTCAAGATTCTCCTTAAATTGTTAAAGTCTGTAATGGGAGAGTAGGAACTGGATAAGTTCGACTAAAAACTTACACTCACTGTTTTCTTCGAAAAGATATGTGTGTTCCACAATATCTCCAACAAAGTCTTTTGATATCTGAAAACTGCTGTGTCCGAATTTGTTTTAGAAACCTTGTCATCACAATTCATTCATGAAATCTTGGTGTAGAATGCATTAAATACAATACTCCATTAGCTATTCAAATTTTTAACTTAATTTGAGTTAGATGTTTGACATTCTGGCAAAATATCAAATGTATGTTAGTTATTCACGGTTTTTCTCACCAATTTATTGATAAATGTTCATTAAAATTTCATTTATGGATCATTTATTTAAAAAGTTCAGGTAATGGGGGGGGGGGGGGGGGGGGGTCAAATATTTCTGCACTGCAAGACATTTATCACGAATATTTTCCTTTTTTCACTGAATGTTCTGCAAAGTTTTGACCCTTAGTTACAGGATGTCCCAAAAGTTTCGACCTTTCTCTGTAAATTGACATTATCTATATCAAATATATTTATAGGTAGTTGATTGAACATACAGCTTTGTAGAGAATGAGAAATTATGATCATTTTACTCATGATGACTAAGCATTTTACATCGGACATTTTTTACAAAAACAAAAAGATTCCTTTCATGTTTGAGTTAATAAAGTCGATAGAAACACTGTTTTCTAATGTTTTTACTTTAAATTTTTATATGATTCGATAAAGTTTTTCAAACTTTATCGAATCAAATAAAAATATCTAGAAAACGATATTTCGTTTCAGACGTTAGAAGCATATTTTGTTTTTTGTAAAAAATGTAATATGTAAAATGCTTAGTCGTCATGAATAAAATGATCATAACTTTTCATTCTCTACAAAACTGTATGTTTCAATCAACTACCTATAAATATATTTGATATAGATAATGTCAATTTACAGAGAAAGATCAAAACTTTGGCGACATCTATTAGTGTTTTGTAAAGTGTAAACAATTTCGTATTTTTAATAGCTGGATAGTACAGCAAGTCTATTAGTGCGCAAACCAAAAACTTCAAAAACTCTGTAGAATTCTCTTAGCTGCGTTGGTCATACCTGCTCCATCTGTGATGGTTACCGTGATTGGAATCATGCTCATTCTTGTTGGAATCGTTCTAGTGATGATCACATGCACTGAATCTGCTGCTTTTATGTATCTACATTTTCCTTCATTCTACCACTGTAAAACATATTATTAAACAGAATGATGGTACTAATTATTGATGTCATAGTATATCTTTTAAATCAGATGTTTGGATGAAAACTATACAAAAAATTACTTATCTTTATAATAAGACTAATGCATTGAGCTCTATTTCTGCTTTTCACTAATCCACCGTGAAATCAACTTGTAACAATAGCTCCTTGTCTTCCTGAATAAAGCCTGTGATCATGAACAAAAAACGTTCAACAAAAAGAGTGGGTGTGGGTTTTGAATTGGAGTGAAAAGAAACCCATATCCCACACCCACACTCGAGCTCGGCAGTCAGAGTAATCATATTTAATCGAGATAATTGATGCTGAACCGAATAATGAGAAAGGAAAGTGCGACATACATTCATGAAAAAGTCAATGATCATCATAGATGCAACCGATCATTAGAAGATAAAAGACGATTAAGTTTAGTGAAGACATGGATACAGTTATCATATGTTTTTGGGCAATTATATCGTTAAGAATTTACTCCAGATCATTGGTCTTGTCATCGATTTTCTGTATGACGTGCAAATAATAACTCTCCATGTGGTCAGAGGTGACTACTTCAATTCTAACACAATGTCAAGAGAAAAAAACGCTTTTTCTCGTAGATATTTTAGTCATGCTTATGTAGTGGAAGGCAAATAAATATTAGCACGCGCCTGTTTTATTGTGTTTAGTATAAGTCAAGTGCTTTAACAAAATGATAGTAAATTAGCGAATCTATGCGATTTGCTTCTTTCTGAGAATGTTATTAATATCAGTTCACCTTGAAATCATTTTTCCAAGCGTATTGTCTTTTGTTAAAACAGCTGTTACTCATCCCAGTTAGTAAGATAAACATTGAAGGTAGTCTTTTTTTTAGCCGCTTTTCGAAATTTATCTTTGCCCATTCGAGATAGACTGCAATCATAGATGGAAAGTTCATTGAGTGATCGATTATGTTCAAGAGCCTCTTGAAGAACATCTATACTTAAATCAGTAATTCTCTTGTTTTTCGAAAGGTCCAAACATTCGAGAGTATTGTTATACTTCTTTAGAGTATTGGCCAATTGTCGAACTCCAAGATCGCTTATTTCGTTCTTGCTCAAGCAAAGTATCGTCAATGTCGTATTTTTTTTAAGCATTTCCGACAAATATTCGACACCAATATCGCTAATTCCAGTTTCTTGTAGGTTAAGAATCTTCAGGACGTTATTATTCATGCTGAGTGCTTTTGCAAGAGGTTTCACTCCTTTGTCGGACAGACGGTTGCCGTAAAGATACAATCTTTCTAATGTATTATTGTTTGGCAATGCTGTAGCCAGAGTAGCAGCACCGAAAAAGGTGATTTTGTTTCCCGGCAACCATAGTTTAGTACACTGCTTTTTGATTATCACCTCTTGAACGATAATGTTCATGTCTCGATCAGTCAATTCTTGATTTCCTAAATCGACCATCGACTGCATTTGTGATGTGGAAATGGTTTGTTCCACTCGTGGATTCAATTTATGTTTGTATCCTGTGAAAAATAAACAAAACATGAATCTATCATTCAAAAGGAGCTTCTTAAGAAAACGCCTTCGGGATAAGAACAAACACGTTGCCATCAATGAAAAAAAACCATCCAAACTATAGGAAACCTAAAGAAAAGAGTTTCTTGTTGCTTCACTCAATCACTTCTCTACTCTGTAGCTTCTCATTGGTGAACAGAGAAAAAGAAAAGCAGTGCTAGAGAGTCGTTTGTTGCAGAGTTGTAACTAATAACGACAAACGATCGGTCCAGTTCGGTGGAGATAATTTTTTCTTTAACAGCCAATGTACATTTTTTCGTATGAGCCTCCTCATGTTTTTTCTTTCAAAACATAACCATAAAAGTGTTTTCTTTATTGCTGATCAATCAATTATCACTACTATGGAGGGTTATTTCTATGAACACGTACATATACACTTTGTACAGACGTATGAGATCATAAAGAGAATAAAACGTAGGAAACAGATTAACTATAGAATTAATTCTGTCCAGCTGTGTGATGACTTACTAATCAATGCACAAAACTTATGAGACAGCAATACAAATCTTAGAAGGTTCCGTTGAAAAGTCGTTCGAACGGTCCTAATATTTCGATATAGAGATTCTTAATGAGACTAAAAATCTGTATCATTGCCTAAAACTGCATGCTTTATCTGCTGGAGTTTATTTAGTAATGACTAAACACCCATACATCGCATTGAGTTGTAGCTTACACAAAATGGTTTTTACAATAGTTGTCAAAACCTCTGTTATTGGGAAAAAAATTATCTAAAAGTGAATATTTTTGTCTTATATCTTGATTAGAGGTAGGCAATGAGAAAGTCTCATCGCAAGCAGTAATCAGGATTATCTCGTTCTTCGCGGGAAAGAACTAAAAATTAGATATAGATTTTTATTCAGACAAATATATTTTAGTATTAACAATGTATCCCATGGTGTTTAACTCCTCATTTGAGAGCTCCGTGCTGCCTCTATTACCAACAGAAATTGCATGTGAAACGATTATATTTCGCTTTATATATGAAATTATCTTTGAATAGTGGAAATGTCACTATACTCTTCAAGATCACAGCAGATTGGAGTCTTCTATTTATGTTACAGTAAAGATGTATAGAACTTTATTTGTTAATAAAATGATGGGTATTAATGCTTTACAATAATGGCG